GGTTGCATGATCTTGGCAGGTGGGCGGCCTGGGCCTGACACTGACAGCGGCGGATCGTGTGATTATTGTGGACCCGTCCTGGAACCCGTCCATGGACAACCAGGCGGTCGACCGCGCCTTCCGCATCGGCCAGTCGCGGGACGTCGTCGTCTACAGGTGCCTGCATTGCTCGATTCAGTTTGCAGGGAGACTGCAACACTCATATAAATTTTGCGCGCTCTTTTGCTACCTTTTCCTAAATGAAAGGGTAGCTTTGGAGCTCTCAGCTGTGTATTCTTCACCGTTCAAGGCCGGACATATTACCTCAGGTCAGGGTTTCCAACTCCTAAAAGTACGCCTGCCCTTTTTGCTAGGATTCCAGATGCTTCGTGCTGCAGCTTGATCTGGACAGCTGTGGCCCTCCAATTGGCATGCTGTGATTGATTATAAAAGTGGGCATTGTCTTGGAGGCGTTCTCATCGCTACACAGATCTCGACCATGTACCATATTTGGACAAGCAGCGTTGCCAGCAGCAGGTTGCCTGGGTGCATGATGTTATCGAGAAGCTGACGTGGAGGGTTTTCCACTCCCAGGCTGATCACATGCGGGACGGTGGAGGAGAAGATCTATCGGAAGCAGGTGTACAAGGGCGGCCTCTTCAGGACAGGCACTGAGGAGGGCATCCAAACTGCCTACTTCTCCTCACAGGTACTTTTACTTATCCATCTATCTACTTCTTCTCTCGTCTGTGAAGTGTCACGCCTGATTGATTTTAAAAAATTGGTTTGAACAGGAGCAATGTCCGACACAGCAATAGCCTGAGAAGATGGAAGCCATGTTATGGAATGCATGCTGTGCTCATATACACTCACAAGCGCCTGACATAGGGGTAAATTCTCTTTCTCCTGAATCTGATCAAGAAGGGGTCGGTGCAACGCAGGACCTGAGGGACCTGTTCAGGCTAGAGCCTGCTGAGCTGGAAGTCAGTGTGACTCAGCGCCAGCTGGACGCGCAGCACGGCCACCAGCGTAACTACTCTCCCGAGCTGACTCAGCACCTCAAATTTCTGCAAGGCATCCGCAGCTTCGCTGGTACGTCTCATCTACTTGCAGGCAGGGTAGTGGTATTGATGCATGCTTATTAAAGGAGCTGAGCGTGCAGGGCAGACCCTGGCCTTTGTCCATGCATGCCAATCTTCCAGAAGCCAAAACCGAAAACTCACAGATTGCAATATACAGAGCATTTCCAATCATGGCCTTTGTATTAAGATAAGGTCCTGAACAACACCCTCATTTCAGTTTTAGTAACGCTGTGCAATGAGCAATTAAAGACGTTTGTGCAGTGTCACTGACCTGCAAGTTTCAATGACACATCATACGACCAGGGTAAGCAATACGGATGAGCTCACCTCAAGAACTACCCAAGCATATTATAATTTGCCATCGCGCAGGTGTGAGCGACCACGATCTGCTGTTCAGTGAGAAGGGTGCTGAGCCCAAGAACTCAAAGCTCGGCAGCGGCGCGCAGTTTCCAGAGCTGCCGCCCCCTGGCCAGCGCAGCGCAGGAACGCCCTCTGCCACCCGCAGGAAGCCTCCTGCCAAGGCCACCTCCAAGCCCGGTGCTGATCTGTCAAACCGTGTTCTTATGCTTGACATGCACCTGCACTGCTGCACCATTATTGTCAGTGGAACAAAAATTCATCACGCAGTAAATAATTGCCTTTCAAACGCTGATCCCTCATTTCACACCTTGCCATACCCGAGTTCCCTTTCAGTGATACAGTCTTGTCACAGGTCAGCTCTGCAATGATGAGCATTCTTTGGAAAGTGCCCAGCTTGCCTTTGTGGCACTGCAGCAGATTAGCGGATCGTTGTTGCACTGCTTTCACCAGTCTCTTTACTTCTTTGTGACCATTGATGATCTGTGTCATGTGACAGGGCCAGCCTGGCAGGGGGCTGGAGACATCAGTGACCTCTTCAAGCGCTCACTCTCCCTGGGACTGCCAGATCAGGCTTCTACTACGAGCACCAGGTGATGCTCAAACTAAGCAAATTTCAGCAATGCAGAAACCTAATAGCAGAAGAGACCATAGTTTTGTTTATGCGTGCCTCTCAAAGCAGTTGCTGTAAAACAAGTCTGCTCAGGAAGTGTATGTAAATTTGTGTTCGTATTGGACCAGATGCGCATGCAGCATTCAGTTGAGCTTGATGCATGCCTCCAAGATTTCAATTCTTCCACACTGTCTCAGACATCGTTCCTCGGGATATCTCTCTTAAAGGTGTACCTGTGACTCTTTGACAGGGAGGCCAGGATAGCAGAGGTGAAATCTGGCATACAGAGGTACGAGGCCATGCTGAAGACCATGAACCTCCCAGATGGCGGCGCCAGGATCCTTGCGCGCATCAGCGAGCAGCGCAGACAACTCGATGACATCATCGCTGAAGGCGAAGGTATGCCACATTATATTGTCACACCACATTGACCAGAATGACTGACCAACAACTAGCTGGAGGTTTGTGATAGGTGGCTCCTTAATTGCAAACATCCTTTGATTTCTTATGATAAACTTCTGCATGGTGATTGAGCATTGCTGTGCGACCCTGCATCCAGATGGTTTATCGTATGTGCGCCCCCTCCTTGAGTTGCAAGTCTTCTTGCAGTTGACTATGATTGATAGCGGTGCTGTGTTGTGCAGAAGGGAGCAGTCAGTCTACTGACAGCAATCCACCTCAGTCGAGAATTGGGGATGAGTCAGCATTCTCGAGGGGCACTGCCGCAGCTGCCAGCCTGGGGCAGCCCTTCAGCATCGCGCGCAGCTTCCTTGGCACAGGCAGCTACCCCACGTCTGCACCTATGAGCAACTGCTCTGTGCCAACAGGGCCATTCTCCACCACTGCAGGGAGCACCAGGCCCCCAGCGCACAAAAGCGGTGCCGTACATCACACGCTGGATCTGTCTGGCGAGTCACCGGGCAGGAACTCTGTCTGGAGGGATCACCCTGCCAAGCTCAAAGCTACAGGTCTTGGCAGTGCAGCTGCCACGCTGCCACAGCCTCCTGCAGCAGCCGAGCCCAATTATGCAGAGGAAGCTTCGGCGGAAGCTTCGGGGCAGCTACCGCGCGGGAGCTGTGATGAAGGAGCCAGCCAGATCAGGCGCGCCGCTAGCGCGGAGCCGGCGGAATCTGCCGGAAGCTTCCACAGCAGCCGCAGCGAACCTGATCAGGACCCGCAGCTGATTGACCTCACCAGCCCTGCAATGTCTTCCCTGCCGGAGCAGAAGCACAGCAACACAGGCAGCCACAGCCGCGGGCCCATCAAATCAGAAAGCCAGGAGCAGCAACAGCGGCAGACTGTGCCCATGCAGAGCAAAGCTGGGATGGAGCCCGCAGGAAGCTCTGCTGGGCTTGAGGCAGGACAGCAGGAGAAGTACAGACCGCCGCTGTCAGTCACTGGCAAGGAGAATGAGACTGAGAGCTCAAACATCAGGCGCCCGCGGCTGCCAAGTCCTCGCAGCGAAGGGCCGGCAAAGGGCGCGGTCAGCTGCGGAGTACCAGAGACAATACGGCAGGTGAAACCTGATGGGACTGATTGTAATCTTGCAGTATTTGATCAAAGTAACGTGCCTTTATTGAGCTTGGCCTATATGTGTGCTTGCCCCGTCTGAGGAATATTTAATTATCAATGGTTGCTTTGCTGTCTGTCACCCGTGTTGGGAGTGTTGAGGTGGCCCTATTGAGTGGAGCAGGGACTGCGCGAGCAGGAAGCTGGGAGGCTGAAAGAGGAGAACTCCCGCCTGAAGCAGAAGCTGAGGCGCTATGTGGACGCACTCAGCAACCCGGCTGCCCTGGCGCAAATGACTGACGGCGGTGCACATGTGAGTTGCCTGGACCTTTCCAGGAGCCCTTTCATTATTCTTGACAAAACACTTCACAGCCCTGCCTGTCGACGGTTTCGGCAGTCTCTGGTAGAAACACCTGCAGCTTTCTGTGCATGCGCGCCTGGCCTCCTGGCAGCACCCATCGTATATAATGTTACTTTCATATAAATGACCAATAATATAGCAGGGAATAGAAGAAAGGACACATCACCTGCCATGCATGCTGACTTTGTATTCTGAGAGCAGTTAGAAGTGAGAGGCAATGCAGGCAGTGATTTATGGTGATTTATGATTGATTGCAGGTCAAGGCCAAAGCCAAGGCGGTGAGCAAGGAGCGCGAGCGGATCAAGGGCAGGCTAGCGGAGCTGCACGCATTGGCTCAAGTGCAACAGTGATCCGCAGTACTGAACAGGCTATGCCAGCAGTCCTAAATTATGCTTCAACACTTGCGCATGGTATAGTACATGTATGGTGAATGTAGGTTTCCTTACGCACATGAGCTTATATATCGTATGGTGACTACTGTGGCTTGTGAATGTCAGCAATTACAGAAGGATGTGGGTCAGATAAACCATGTGACCGGTACATGCCGGATGTGCCGGGTGGTTTCATCAACGTTGCTCAGAGAATTACAATCTCCCTATGAGTATCTCAAACAGCAATTGCAGCCACAGCTTAGCACAGCGTTTCACATTGCATTGTGCATCAAACTCGGCTCCGAGGTGTCTGATTAAACATCTCCATCAAATCACCTAAGCACCTTGCGCATCACTTTGCCTTGCTGTTGAAATCATGAACATGATGTAATGGATCACAATCACAGATCTGGCTCACAACGCAGATCTGCGCAGCAATCTGAAGAAGCAAGCACTCCATTTAAGAGTCACTGCCAAGCACCCCAGAACCCATGCACAGGTATGTAAAAATGTCAATGGATCGAAATCTGCTGCAGGTACACACTCAAGACAGCACACTGCAAAATTTACATCCCCAGCACATCATGGTAGAGGTTATTGTACACTTGTAGTGCATGATTGATGGCAGGCAATCTTACTTTTGAGACAATTCACAGGAAGCTTGATTTTTGTCCCCGCCCTGATTTTTGTCCTTGCCCCACAGTGTTTGTCCTCGCGCATTTTCATGCCTACAAGTCTTCCTCACCAGCCTTACTCTTGGCTTGCTGCAGCCTACACCAGAACAGCCGCAGCGTGTCCAAGTAGTTCACCTCGCTGGCGAAATCCTGCAGCTACATGCTGCCTGGCGCCTGGCTGAATCCACTCCTCTTCCTCTGCATGCATGAGGTCTCCATGTGCATGAAAGTCCAGGCAGCGTCGAGATGGCCGCCGGCTTACATCGGGACTGACCTTTGCCAACCAGGCTGCCATAGGGCATGCATGCCAGGGAGGGGTCCAACTCCGGGATGTTGTCCTGCCGGTTGTGCATGTACTCGCTTGCCATCCCGAAGGTGACGTCTTTGATGCTGATTGTATGGTGCAGCTGGCTATGGATGCTGGCCAAATCTACTTCAGCTACGACAAGCGTGAGGAGACGTTCAACCTGCAGCTCTTGGACAGCCGCACAAACGTCTCCTCACGCTTGTCGTAGCTGAAGTAGATCCGGCCAGCATCCATAGCCCGCTGCACCATACACTCAGCATCAGAGACACCCAAAATGAGCAAGGGCCCAGAGGCTGCAATAGATGAAATGGCATCAACCTGAACAAGCCTGGCTGCAAAGTCATGCTTCATGCACGATCTGTTAGAGTCACATGTACTAAGCTGCTAACCCCTCCACCACACTATCACCACCAGTGAGTCAGCGATTAGCTACCTTTGCAACAGTGGGCTGTGTTAACAATACGCTATTGCCAGCATGGAAATTGCTCGACCCCACCTTCAGAGGTTTGATGAAGAGCAGTCCATTTGCCACGTCGTCCACATTGTCCATGCTTATCCAACCTTGCATGTGTGGTGCGCAGCGGTGGGGGAAGATGTGCGCAGCGAATGCGTGACCCCGTGGCACTGGGGCATCAGGCATGTGGCACTGCACCAAGCCCGCACCCAGCGAGGCCTGCATATGAGCAGTATATTGTTGTATATTAATTACCCCTATGTGCTGTAGCGTGCACGTGCCTCCCACGTGCAACGACAGCAGGGTCAATTTACAAAAGGACTGATCTTAAGGGTACTGCTGGTCTACTTGTAAGGATCTCTCTGCTTTTAAAGTTCCTCAGTAATGACAGCGCAGTGCTTCCTGCTCGTATTATTTCAAGAATCTCACTCTGATTCACAATCATGGCAAGTCCTTTCCAAAGTCTAAACAGCAGCTTCTCGTCCTTTGTCACTATCATGTCATAAGGACGCTCAGTAACCCACATGGTATCAACTGCATGGCTTCATTGTGAAACTTCTACGCCATGCACAAGCAAGCGTTGGACTTGGAAGCCGATCAGATCGCAACCATGGAAGAATTCTCAGAACTCTCAGGCTAACAAGTGCGGATCACTACAAGCAATGTCAGCTCTAAGGAACAAGCGCACTAGCTAGGACACAGCATGGACATTGTCAGGTCATCTGTGTCATTATGCACTGCCGGCCGCATTATCTCAGGATGTTCTTGAGCTCAGCACACCGCGAACTTGAACTTTGATGCTCACTTTTTGCCGTTCTTGCTCGCAAACAAAAAAAACGAAACATGTGTCTTCATTTGAAGAATACTCAGTTGTTCAGGCAGATCGGCGGTGCTTCTGTGCACTGCTTGGCGTGGCCGGCCGCGATGCCGCGCCGGTGCTGCTTCCGCCGTTTCTCAGGAGGGATCGCCTCAAACGGCGCGACGGCAGAAATGTCAGGAACAGTGCAGCCGTGCCACACCACAGCAGCAGCCCTGCAGTGAGCCTCCCATGATTTACATATATATTGACTCTATCATGCGTGTGGCACGTTCAGGTACACAATACTGCATCTGGACACAAACGGCAAGCTAATGTAATCATTCCGGAGCAAGGCCTGCAGGCAAGAGACTTGTCAACGTCTTTGAAAAGGTGCACAGAGGCAGAAATGAAAATTGAGGTACCCACCGACCCAGCCAAGGTGATGCAGGAATGTGGCCACGTCAGATGTGACTCCCCTGCCCACCATCCTGCGCTCACCCCCCAGCAGCAGCTGGTGCCCCTGCCCTGTCCCATCCCCCTGCATGCATATCCAGGATCTCACTTGTTCATTTTGACACCTTTGCAGCCAGCCATGCATATTCATCTGATTTAATTCTGCATTGCCCACCATGGAAATTGCACTTCCTGCAGTGTCAGCTTTTCTGTGCAAAGGATCCAGGCGGCAATAACTCAAGCAAAAGAGTCCGTACCAGCTGCAGCGCAGCACCTGCCGTGTCCCCCTGCGAAGCCATCTCAGAGACCACAGCTTTCTGCTGCGGCCACCGCCCCTGGCCACCGAGCCCCAGCAGACTGCCTATGCCTCTCCATGCCCCTCCCCCACCGCCAGCATTCTCCTACATCGACACCTTCCTTTCACACATCCATACTCATATTGGACATCAGATCACCCACGGATTTTGAGCACATATCCTGCTCTTCTGAGAGAAGCCTTGGCTGCCGTGGCGGTGCCGTGGTGAGCAATGCAACCATAATTTATTGGGACAGACGGCAAACTTAATTGTGTGCACAGAGCAGGTCAAGCACCTGTAAAGGTATTGTTTTAGGAGGACAGGTGCCACAGGACAGCCGGCAATTGGTCTTCATCCAGCTGGGGTTGGTCACACACTCGTTGTTGCCTGCCCACTTGGGACACCGATCCTGCAGCATGGGCCACCAAGACAATCACCTTCAGCTTGATTTGTGTCACCCCTAATGCAGAATTTGGCCTCCTGAAGGAAGCCAACCTCTGCCTTTGAACAATTTTTTTGGACACATTCCCCTTTCTGAGCAGAAAGAGCACGTCCTTGGTCGAAAACGAGGGGAAATCGTGCATTTCAGGGGGATCAGTCAGCAGGACGATGGCCTCACGTCCTTGTCGACACATCCTTTGCTGGTGAGGTTTACTTGCAGTCCCACGGCAATGCTGTCAAAGTCCCGCATCAGCTGCTCTGCCTGTGCAGCAAATGAAGAAGACATTTCAATCTCTTACATCAAGTCGGTCAAGCAGACATTGCCAAATTTATTGCCGCACAGAAGCTCAAAAATAAAGTAAAGAGGGGCTGTGCAAGTCATGCCTGTGCTGGGCATCCAGGAACAGAAAAGAAAATTGTGAAGGGTAAGAGGTCTCACATATGAGCATTCTCTCATGAGCTGCTCAGAGGGCGGGCAGCGCTTCCTGTGCAGCTCGCAGAAGGCAGCATTCAGCACGATCATTGGCTCCGCCGCTAGCATGTCCACCAGAAGATCAAACCCCTGACCCACATGCACACACCCATTCCTTCCTCGCAACATGCCTGCAATGTGCTTTTCGATTTGCAAAGGTCTGCTCTTGTCAATGCAAGACAAGCCAGAGCAATGCATTTGCTTCCTTGACCCACTCAATGCGTTTAAAGCAACAGGCAACAGTGATAAGCGGGGAAGCCTCCTAATAGAGTCAGCAGGGTTGCACAAAGCCACAGACATTGGTGCAGGATATCCTGTACACGGCTAGAGTATCAGGGCCAGAATAAGTGCACAGAGCAACGGACCTTGGTTGGGTACGTGGCAGGGTGGGGAGGGTGCCTGAAGAGGCCGCCCCTGGAGTTGCCAGTCAGGTTCCAGGGTGGGCACTGCAGCGCGTCAAAGTCATAGAACCAGTGCTTGTCAAACTCGTAGCCCGTCTTGCCGACCTCCCAGTGCAGCCCGTAGTGCAAGACCTTGGGCGGCACTGCAACAGACACAACTCCTTGCATCAATTTGGGAAATCCTCCAGGCCAGGGTCAAATGAATACACTGTCTTTGCATCAGCCCTAGCTCTAGTATTTTGTCAGGAGCTGCTCATATTAAAAAAGCACCCATCTGAGGTGCATGACAACCCGAGGTGCATCACAGTCTCAGGACATGTCATGGCCTTGGAATGCACTAGCTCGACCATTCCAGACGATTGACAGAGAAGACATTCCCAGAAAGAACAGAGGCTTACCGTAAGTGGTGTAGCCTGGGTACAGCATGGCCTCGTAGTCCACGTGGTGCCAGACATTGGCAGAGGCGGTGCCGAACGAGTACCCATACATCTCACTGATCCACGGCTTGTCCCCTGGGTTGTGCGTGAACGCGTCCCCTGTCAAGTTCCACGCCTGCACCAGGCATGTCATCCCTTTACCAAGCCTGCATGACCCCATAAATGCAGCTTTATATCTTAGTGTTCACATCTAATTGTGCAGCCATGGCCAGCATAATTGCTGAGGGTACTTAGGCCCTATCGGCACTACAGCATGACAAGCGCACATAGTTTTGAGCTCCATTCCGCTTGACCTGTAAATTTTGGACACATTATTCTCAGCAAAGTTGGCGAGGCATTGAGTGATATGACAAGAGAGGGAACGCTGCGCACGTCTGGGTCGTGGCGGACCGCCTTGGAGAACTTGAGCCACAGCGGCGCCACCCGCTTCAGATCCTCCTTATGCATGATGCAGAAGCCTCCTACCTGCAGCACAGCAAACACAAATGGTCAGATGACAACCAATGAATTTTGCTTAATAAGTGTCTTTGGGCCGAAGGTAATGCAGCTGATCATAAGTGAGGCCCAGCCTATATTCCTTGTCCCAGCAATAATTCAAGAGAAAACCCGTACAACATGGTGCTCAGATGCCGATGCACAGCATGGCAGGTACTCCAGAGTCAGGGTGACCTACCTGGTCTCCCCTCCTGCCTTCCGGCCCTGCCAGGGTGTCGTTTCTGGGCTCCACATAGGGCACATGTTTGAGCGCCAGCTCATTCTTGACCCCCTTGAGGTAGCCGAAATAGGCCGACACAGCCCAACCTGCACATGACCCAAATTAATCTCTTCAGAGCATATGAAGTGCACACCAGCAAAATGCACGAGCAGTGCGAGTCTGCAAAGTGTCGGAGTCTGCAGAAGTATGGAACGCGCCTGGAGACACGCCCATCTGTTCAGGAATGAAGGGCGAGCGGAAGATCATGTCGGCGTCTATGACAAGGATGTAGTCTTCCTCTGGTTCCACATCCTGCATGCAGACAGAGAGGAAGATTCCTTCAAAACTGCCAAAATGCTCAAGTTCAGGTACCATTCAAGGGTTGAACACACAGTCCACTGCTTTTCCCCGCCAGGTTGGTGGGAACATCGGCATTATGGGGTGCCAAAGGAATTATTTCTCTCTGTTTCAAAGAGCAAGAGTTCCTTTGGGGATCCCACAATCCTGGCGCAGTATTATGTACATAGGGAGAGATTGGAAAGTGGTTCTAGCAGGGGCACCTGCAGCCAGAAGAGCACAGCGCCGGGCTTGTTGTAGGCAGAGTAATGATCATTGTGTTCCTTGTTGGGGTCCATGGTCAGGCTGGGCACCACATGCGTGGGCACCAGGTCCAGCCCCTTGTAGTTCTGCAGCTGCTCATCCGTGCAGCTCAACAGCCGCGTGAAGCTGCCCGGCTGCTTCGCCCGCTTGTAGCTGCAACAAGAGCATGGCATCTCTTTCCAGGACCACAACAAATGCAGAAATTGGGAATGAACGGATCACCAGCATGGAAGAGTGTGCAAGCTGGATCATTTCACATGTCCAGGATAATTTATTTACTTAAAAACACGTTTTCAAGGAATGGATCAGGAATGATACCTGTAGACAAGGCCGAGGATCTGCCAGTCAAAGTAAGGTGTGCACTCTGTGGTGATGACTGTGTGCACAGTGGCTTTGCGCTGCGGCTGGGACTTTGCTGCTGCCCTGTGCTGAGACAGGAGCAGCAAAGTTGCACATATGAAGACCGCCACTCGCCCCATTTGACGAGCTCATTGCTCTCTGGCAAGCATAACTTCCAGCTGCCTTCCAAGGAGGACGTCCAACGGTGCTAGATCTTGCGCCAACTCAGATACAACACGCTCTATTAATTGCTGCACATCATTCAGTGTGACTACTCTCCACTTTTGTTTGATACGACAGCTTTGTCGGGGATTACAGGCCTCCGTAACAACGCGTCGATTCCAGACTGCGCGATGCCTGCAATCAGAAATTTGGTATAAGATGCACCTCACGAAATAAATTGATCGGAATGCATGCTGTACAATGTCCTCCTCAGTATAATATGGGCTCTCAGATCATCACACTGTACTGTTCAGAGAATGTGCAGGACTTTCTGCAAGCGCAACACTAAAAAAGCAGCAATTAGGTCTAGCTTTTCCGATTAATAATTCAAGAACATGAAAGGGGCCTCACCTTGATATCAAAAGCCACTGCTCATCTAGCGTGTCTAAGTGCGGAGTTCGAAGAGACAAAACAAAGCCACAGAAAAAGGATGCACGCAAAACAGTGACAAAGCACTGAAGATAGACGAAGGTGCCTGTCTTCTGGTGGTAGGAATCGCGCATTTGTGTGCAGTCGATGAGTATGATGAAACACAAAGTTACGGGAAGAGCGGAGACACTTACGGGCAGTGCCTCGGTCCGCTGCTCCATTGTGAGGTGCAGTAGGAAACCTTTTCTAATCCGTTCAGTTTTTGCTTTGTACTTGCAATCTAGACCAGATGTGGCAAAGCTCACTCTCACTCTGGGTGGCAGCAATGGCAATTTGCTTGTAGCTGAAGTGCATGCGCATGCACATGCATGCATGCTAGCTGATCATGATGAAGTGCGCACAATCTTCCAGTCCCACGGTGGGAGATGCATCCACACGGATTCTTAGATGGGACAAAGTCTTGTGATGAACTTACACTCCAGTCATGCATACGTTGGATTGCCTTTCAGGCAGCTGCCCTCAAACTATTTCTTCTCAATCACGAACGAATGCCAGACGCACGAATCTGCTGATACACTCACATGATTTTGAGTATCTATACTCATACACAAGCAGGTCACTAGTCTAGCACCGCTTGAGCTCTGCACTAGAGCTGCAAGAAAATATCATGAAGCCCTGGCTGATGCCAAAGCAGAGACAACTCGAGCATCCATTAACACTTCATGTCAGCTAGGCGCTTAAGCCTTGGTCAGCTCCGGGGCGGGCACTGCCACGCGGGATGGCACGTCCTTGTCGAGGGCGTTCTGGCGGCGCAGGGAGTTGAGCGCGCAGTGGGCTGCCTTCTGGCCGCTCATGAACATGGCTCCAAAGGTGGGGCCCATGCGCGGGCAGCCGTCCAGCTCAGCCACCTGTCAGATCCACAAGTTGCGTCAGAGCTTCTCACTTCTGCAGCTAGAATATCAGCCAAGAAAATGCTTGCCAGTGCTGTGAATGATGCACGGCTTTTTCAGTTGCTCATTCTGCAACAGTAGCGCTGGGTTCCTGAGATACAGCTTGGACCAGGGGCAAGGAGATGCAGGCCCAGGAGAAGCAAAAGCAGAGCTGGATTTCTGCTGCATCATCTCTGACAAAGGGATAACCAAGTGATGTATAGAAAAGGGCTGCGCACCTCCATGCCGCAGATGACCATTCCGGGGACGACCTCGCGGGTGTTGCGCACAACAGCGTCCTCTGCGGTGTTCATATCGAGGGCGGCCATGCCTGGAACGCCCGTCACCATGCCCAGCCTCTGCAGCCTCTTCACGCCTGCACAGTGTCCCAACCCATCTTCAGCACAACGGCAGATTCAATTATACCGAAGCTGCAAGAAGATTGCTTGCAGTTTTGATCGCGCAGCGCAACACTCATCAGTGGAAGCCATGGGCAGACATGCACAACGACTGGCAAATATTCAGAGATCAATCAGTGCTGCAGAACATCAACACAACATCCCGGCACAATGATCGGCAGAAGTAAAAATGATCAAGCAATTTCTGAGGGAGTAGAGAGGGGAGATTGTACCTGAGGCGCCCATGGGGCCGTCGTGGCCAGTGGAGGAGACCATGACCTTGCACTCGAGCACGTTGGGGTCCATGCACATCTGTGTGTCGTGGTTGAGGGAGACCAGCGTCCAGTTGGTGACGGCGCCGCCCACGTACTTGCCGCGAAGCTCGTCCTCGCGCACCACCAGGTCCTCAACAGCCGTCGCATTGAACAGCTTGATGTTGGGCGCCTGCAGCCAGAGAGGAGATTTTGTTGATATCACATTTTTAACACTGGTAGATCAGCACGTCGAGCTTGCGCATGAATGCCCTGATTCGGACACCTACACCTTTATGGGACAACAAGCACCTCTGGTGTTTGGGGATTAGTGTAAGTTCTTATTGCACAGCATGCATTGAAATAGGCACACAAAACACGCCTGTGCAAATTGCAGCTCAAGTCTCTTCAACAGAGCAACTGACTGCCCTGCTGCCAAACACGGACTCGCAATGCTTCCATCATGTGTGCCATCAGCAGGCCGGAAATCCGGAGCCCTGGACAAGTATGCAGCTTTACCTGGAGGACCTTGGAGAGGATGGTGGAGGTGAAGAGGGAGGCGTGCTTGATGACGACGAAGTCACCCTCGTCCTCATAGGGCACCTCAAGCTCGTCCAGGATGGTGTGTGCGGGCTTGCGCACCACCATGGCGCTGAAGAGCTGGCCTCCCAGCCACGCGCCACCGCCTGGGGCAACCCCCTGCTCGATGATGGCCACCTGGACAGGTATGAAACAGCTCATCAGAGATGGGTCAAGTTTCAGTCAATCTCTGCCACCTTGCCAGCACCCTACTCGAATCGGCCTGCATTCGATTTCAATTTACGCGTGGATTCTAACATTACGCACAAGCAAGCAGGATTTGTACAGTAATAAGTATCTACCAAGGCAACCCTGTTCAGATGCCCACCTTCACGTTGGGGTACTTGGAGAGCTCGTATGCGCAGGAGAGACCGGCGGATCCAGCGCCCACAATGATGACATCGGTCTCGGCGTACTCGTCCAGGTCCTTGAAGTAACGGCTGGTCATAGCGCGGCTCACCTGTTAAATTAGCAGGTTAGGTCTTTCAATCCCCGTGCAATGCTGTGTCGATCTGCACTGTGCTAAGGATTGCTGATATTGTGCTTCATGAGGATTACCTGGTGCTCGGTAATGGGCTCGAACTTGAAGTTGTCAAAAGGAGTCTCTGAGAAAGCCTGGTTCAGACGGTGAGCATCGGCTGCGCGTGCGACGATCCTGCGCATGCGAGACATAATCAGTCAACCGCGCATTGTGAAGAACCCCGAGACCCTATCTGCAACATTGAAATATATAGAGATATCTAGAATGGTGGCCCAACCTGCAGGGCCTCGCCGAGGGGCGGGGTGCTGCAGCCTTCCGGGCGTGCAGGACATTACAGAGGCTGGTTGAGAAGGTGGCAGCGGCCATTTTGAGTTGTCTGGTCGCGCAGGGATGAAAAATGTCAATGCCTATGATTGGAATCGTCTGATTGCAGGAATTCACAGAGTGGAGAGGGCCAACCTGCGTATTTTGACAAAATGATTTCACCGTTACCTAATTAGAATATATCGTCCCAAAATATCCCAAGCCCTGGGAAAGGGGTCTGCGAAAACCTCAAAACCCTCTAGCACTGGCAACAGAATTCCAGCCGAGTAAACAAGACTGGGGAGAGACGTCAATAGTCATAGTTTACATGGGTCTTGATGCCATATGGCATTCAATGCATCTGGAATAAGTCCCTGTGTCCACGTGGTCACGGCCTTGGTCACATATGTGGGATTAGTTGCCAACAGCACTAGTGTATGTTCAACAAAGTTTGCCCTTAGCTCTTAGTAAGTGCCCCTCTTGGCCGCTGTGACTCTGATGAATTAGATATTTGCTTCAAATCAGTCCTGTTCCTGACTATAGCTCCAGCCAAGATATTCAATTGTCAGTTGCAACACTACAGGTAATAAAGCACACTCGTGCATTTCATTCCAGGCAGGTTTTCCTTGCCTCCCAAAACACCAGGTCCGACACTGAACAGAAGACTCTTGCCCCAAACAAGGCTTCACCAATACATAGCTCATGTCTTTAGCTGGGGCCTGCAGCTCCCGTTGAAGGGCAACACCGCTGCATGCTGCGCAAATAGATAAACATTACCGGATGTTCTGGCAAACAAGACTTGCTAATGCGGCCAAATCAGGCCTGGCATGTGATGATGCTGGCAGAAGCGCCATCGTAGACCTCTTTCTGCGCAACATCTCTTAGTCGCAGCTGCGGCACAGGCAACGCCCCCGGGCTGACCGCTGTCCATGCCGCCTCCACCGTCACAAAAGACCCCGCCTACACAATTTATTCGACCCTTATTGAACTTTCCCATTCTGACAAATACCAAAGCATTCCAATAATTGAACAGCTCGCAAAACTGGATATGCTTCCAGTTATGGGCGGTGAGTGTATCGTAGAAACCTCAAAATATGTGCCTGAAACTTCCTTATCGCTACTCACATGACGCTCGCTTTCGTGCCATCCTTGTGGCTCTGTCAAATCCGCAGGATTCTGTAAACAATGTCCACAACAAAATCCCGTGAAGCAGCCTCACCTGACTGGGCAGCGTGACATAGCTGACGCGCGGAGCTGCAGGCGCCCACGCATCGCTGTCAGCCACAGCTTCATAGGGGACAAGCGATGCCACCTCAGCGACAACGCCAGTGGAGCCCACGCGCTCTAGCCGCCAGCAGAAGGTGGCTGCCTCCCCAAGCCTGCACGTATCCCAGGAATTGTCAGTGGTGCAAGCATGCATGCGCTATAATGTTGCAGGAGCCTGTGGTGTAGAGACATCTGCACCCGGGTCAAGCCGGGGCAAGCAGAGTTTTCCTCATTCTTTTAGGCAAATATACAGGTCTAAATAGGAGTTCGTTGCCGGATCTACCAATCTCAATGCCGTTAGAGGTACACAATGCAAGAGGGAGAATGCAGAAGGTGCACCTGACAGAGAAGGGGCCCAGCAGCTGCACAGCCACGATGCTGCGGGGGGTCTCCGCCACATCGTTGCTCTCCAGCACAAACTTGTGGCTCACCAGGTGCATTGAGGGCTGCGCCTGCTGGCCGCTGTCATCGTGAGCACCCTGTACACAAGCAAAAGCAGAAAGTCTTCTTTGTTGCGCTTCCCAACACGCCCCACCAAACATTATGTAGGCAGTCCCTCAGGAAATTCCATGAAAACTATTGCATCTTTCAAAGCACATGCAAATACAGCATGTGGGTGCCAGTTGAATGGTCGCATTCATGGTGAGCCGGATCTGTTGTCTGCCCTTTAGGGGCCTTAAAGAGGCCCACGGGATGTCTTAGAAAGGACAGCCTACCTGCCCAGGTGGGCTGGGATTGCTGGGAGGGAATGGCAGCTGCTCTGGGGCGAGGTGTGGCTGCGCCCAGCCGCTGTCCACCTGGCACGGGCGCTGCTGTGCGCGCTGCGCTGCGTTGAGCGTGTAATGAAGCTGCAACGTGGACGCTGAGGAGCGCGCCAGGCGACTCACCGCGTGCTTCAGGACAAGGAAGTGCAGCAACATCACTGTGGCGCCCGGTGCCACCTGTATTGCAGAATGCTTTTCAAGCCGCAGAGAACACTGAAGCACGCTAGGGGAGATTTGCGTGTCGCATGCAACGGTCTGCAGTGTTTCATGCCAAACAATCTACAATTCAATGCAGTCTGCCAGAGCAGATAAGGCGCAGGCCTCCTTATCAACAAGGAAAACGACCTGAAGTCCTCTGAGGGCCCATCTAAAAGTAGCAGCACTGCTAGAGGCCGGGGTAGTGCCAAAGACACCCACAACAACAATGATGGATGAGCAATTAGTAGCAAGTGCACCTGGACAGGGAAGAGTGCCTGCAGCTCTGGGCTGGCCGGCTGCAGCTCGTAGCCTGCCGGCGCGCTCATGCTGGCCTGCGTGATTGTGGCCTGCCATGCCAGCATGGAAGTCACCCGCGTCTGCACCACCACCCGCTTGTCCGCCAACTCCCGCGCTGTCATGCTCAGCCTGCGTCCAAGCTCTCATAGGTTGTCAGACTGTCAGTAAGGAGCCTAATTTTGTTGACACTGGACATGGTAAGGTAAGTAAGAGCAGGGCTCAGAAAATGAAATATTGAGCATGCAGAACATCTCCGGTAGGTCCATTCTACGTACCACCACAGCAGAACAGACGATGTTGACTATGAGATAATGATGAGCATGATTAATGATTCGCTTAGAGTCAACAAAACCCAGCAGGTGCAGGCACACCTGAAAGGAGGCACAATTGGGATGGCCAGCCTGGCAGCATGTGAGCGCTGGCAGCCTGCCAGGTATTCCACGTTGACGTCCACCTCAGCGCAAGAACTGACATCAGCGATTTGCTGTCCACCGCCAGGCTGCGGCGGCTGCTTGGGCGGCCATAAATGCTCTGAGTGCAGCGCCACACGCACGCTCTCCACCTGGGTCGGAAGGTCCCCTGCGCATTGGCAAATGACACCAGGCATCAGAGAAACATATTGGCGAGTGCAGTAAAGAGGCAACCGGAGGGGTACAACAATGTGGAAGTGCAGTCTCTAATCTTTATCTTACAATTTAGCTCTCGCCGCTGTCATGCTATTGCCTCTCCAGCACCCTGTCTGGCATCAAGGGCAGTCAATTGCTGAGTTGCAGGGTAACAAGGTAACCATTTGCAGGCACAGCTTAAATCGCACCTGCTTGCACACGCAGCCACAGCAGCGATGGCTGCGAAGCCGACCACGCTGGCAGTCCTGCAGCGCCGCCAGGCAGGCGCGCCGAGATCCAGCCGCCCTCCTGGCGCTCCCCAGTGGAGCTGGATCGCGATACCGTCTCCAGCCGCGTGCCCTCCTCCGCATGCTCAAGCGCCTGATCTGGTGCCGGGCCTGCGCCCTGATCTGGCTCTGCATCGGGAGCTTTTCGAAATTGCGCAAGCTCAGCTGGCGCGTCCAGAAATTCCAGGCGGCAGCTGGCCAGAGCAGAGTGTGCCGAGCCTCCAGCGTCTCGCTGTGAGCCCGTCAGCCTGCGCACGGGTTTCCACAATGCAATCAGTTTGCAATCAAAACAATGGCTCCTACTGACTCTGTAAATCTGAATGGTAGACCATTGCCCCTTCACATCTTTCTGCCAGGTCATCTGGAGCCAGCCATACGCCCTAAACTCAAACGCACCATGGTGACACCAAGGATTAAACGATCACATGTCTGCAGCGAACGAGGAAGAAATTCAAGCGAGAGCAGCACCTGGAGCCCCACGAAGCGCCCGACATGCTGGAGGACGCAACGGCCCAGGGGTCCGCGAACTGGACGGCCTCTGCGGGTGCGACGTGGATGCGCAGCTGGCGCAGGCGGTCGTGCATGGGCTCCAGCGCAAAGCCCAGCCAGGAGGCGTGACCGGCGACCAGCGCGCCCGTGTATGCGACCGCGCTCAGGCGCAGCCGCGGCTGGCACGCCAGCGCATGCAGCAGCACCGCCGCCTCGCGCACTTTCCCTGCAGCACAGGTACTCTGCTGTCAGACTTCCACTCTCTGGGGGAAGTCATCCGTTGTCTTCTGAAGTGGAAAGAGTCCTTGGCCTACTTGAAGTGATGAACTTGTTGACTATGCATAGATGGACGGGAGGAAAACAAGCTACCAGAAAGATACTGAATTTGGGATTGCAGCTAAGGAACAAGTTCAAAAGCGCACCAAGAGTGTCCACAGCGCCGACGGCGGGCCCAGACCCGGGGAACTGAGACTCGGCCGCGGCAGGCGGCAGCACTGGCGGCAGCGCGGTCAGCAAGTCAAGCGGGGGGCCGCCGTCTTCCGGGAGCGCAGCGCGCAGGCGCAGTGCGAGGCGGCCGAGACGGAAGTGCGCGTGCTTCAGCACGTACAAGCCCTGCTTCATCACGCCCAGGCGGAATGCCAGACGGTTTGCGCCCGGCTGCAGAGTAATTGCAGCTGCATCCGAGGCCTGCAGCAAAAGGTCACTCACATAGGTGGCCTCCCGAGCAACAGGTTGCGACACGCGAATGCCGCCCAAAAGATGCGTAAGACCGTTTTAGGCCCAACCATGATAGCCGGCACACCTTTTGAAATCTGCAAATAATATTGCCTGCTTGGCATGTCACGCTGCAGTCCGGGACGAGGAACAAACATAGATGGGCCATTGGCCTTGAGTATAAGTTGAGAGTCTGCTCACCCGCAATTGGCTGCTGAGGAAAGTTAGCGGGCAGGTGACCTCCTCAATCTCCTGCCACATGGCACCCATCAGAGGTCCCTGCTGGCGGGGGGACAGGTCCCCCACCTCCGAGTATGTCCGCGGTGTTGAGCGCAGACGCGCAGTCAGCGGCTGAGCGCCGTCCAATGCCGCCTCAAAGGGGCTTGAGCCCGGAGGCCTACCCATTGATCCAGGTGTTTGGGTAAACCCCGACAGGGGCACTGACACTTCCTGCGCACAGGGACCCAAGTCATGGTTTCACTCTACACTCCAAGGAGCAAAGCCTGAGTAGCGCTCTGGGCAATGATTATTGATGAGAGGCAAGCCCTGACAATACCGACACGGTAAAAAGTGCATAGGAATGGTAATGTGCTGCAGACACTGGAGACATTGAGACCTGCCAAGGTCAGTCTTGGGTGAAAGACTGTCTAACCTGCATGATGGACAGGACGACAGTCAGGTCGCCAACGTCGAATGGCGCGGGGAGGCTGCTGACGACCATCATTTCTAGTTCTGTCACGTCCCCCAGGCACCCATCAAACCCTCTCCACATCTCATCGCCGCCCTCAGCAGGTTCCGGCTGTCCCAGTCGCCGTGCCCGGCTGGGCACAATCACCGGGGCACCCGGGCTGGCCGACTGCCCAAAGAAGCGCCCATACTGCCCTTGCACCGGCTGCAACAAAGTAACTGTCCCTCAGATACTGATGCACATTCCCAGGCCTAGCCAGAACTCTCTCAAGCATGCATGCGTTGCTTGTAAGGTCGTAAGCCACACTTGAAGGTCATCTGAGGCTGTGGAATCTAGACGATTACATGTCTGGGCATATTTCGAGCTCAAATATGCCAAGAACATTAAAATTACTCCCCATTACCACAGGCAAGCCTGCTTAAATTAAATCGCAATGATCCAAAGGGGCTCATTGCCTATCCTGTGCAGTGAGCGGTTACTCAGCACCCAAACGCACCTGCACCCAAAGCGCGCGGAGCGCATCGGTGTGGCCGCTGGGCAGGCGCAGGTCGGTCAGAGGCCCCGGCAGCGGCGCCGCACGCGTCAGCACCGTGGCTGCGTTGAGCAGATCTGCCTGCACTGAGCGGCTGTCCTCCTCTTGCAGCAACTCCGCTAGCGACAGGAGCCGAAGGCATATGGGCGCCTTGTCGGCCTGAAATCAGCGCACAATTTTTTCACAACTAGGCTGAGAATCTTACATCTGGAATCTGCCAATGCATTTCAGCAATGGAACAGCAAACGTTTCAATCGACAGAAGTCTCTTGTCTACACTCATCTGCTCAAAAAGCTGTTGCAGAGTGTGACACCCTCCTTTTCATTGGTGACATTTGCCACTGCAGCAAATAATCAACTCCGGTGCAAGTTGTTTTGCTGCAAAGGCACGCTGCCACTAATGAAGGCAGGCGTGGCATTCTGTAGCAGTGCCCCAAAGGGCATATCAGGAACAAAAGGCCTTCGTGAGGGTCGGGGTTTGGGCCTTTGCGCACCGCAGTGAGCGGGCGCGAGCATTGCAGCAGGCGCACGAGTAGCGCGGCCGCCACAGACAGCCACCCCTCGTGCAGCACTTCCTGTGCCAGCGCCGCCAGCAGAGAAACAGCTTCGCGCGTGGCTCCTGTGGCCGCCAGCGCCTCCGCAACTTCCAACCGTAGCAGCGCCGCGTTGCGCCTGCGGCCGCCACGCCGGTAGCACATCGCCGCGCAGCGGCTCAGCTCCAGCCAAATGTCCTGCGAATTTGCAAAGGCCACCCCTCAGATCAGTTTGACCCAATCCTCCGGTTTTCCCATGTCCTCCCGCCTTAAGAGATCCTCTGCCACCTTGGAGATGATGCGACTTTCCAGGTACATCGGGACAGTGCGCAAGGGAAGAGAGAGTGTGGCTACATTTGTGTACAGCTGGCACCGGCAAGATGCAAATACTACATAACATCCCAAGCAACATAGGCTGGTGAGGTGGCAGCCCACCTGGAACTCCAATTTCGAGGACAGCGCGGTCCTGAGGCGCCAGTCGGACAGCCAATCCACGGTGCCGCTGTGGCCGCCCCCGTCGCGCGCCCCATCAAATGGCGCAAACCCTCCGCCGCGTGCTTTGAGCTCCGGCGTCCTGGGCGTGCTCGACTCTGACCCTGTCTCAACCTGCCGCCCATAACAGAATTTAAACTCGGTTGGCTATATTGGCTTGGGGCATCACAACCCCAGCGATGCTGCTCAGACACTTCTTCACAGGGGGCTTTTGTCATCTGGCACTCCTGAGAAAAGTGTTCTTGGCGTAGAATTAGCTTAGCCAATGAGTCAGCATTGAGAACACTCCCTCACAAATGCCAGACAATGGCACAGCTAGACTCTGTCATGTGA